TTGTGATGTTTTGAAACGGTGATTTTGTTGCTATGAGGTGGTGGTGATGGTGGTGTCGGTGTTGGCGAGGTGGTTACGTTTCTGTGGTGTTGGTGTTGGCGACGATGGTGCGTTTTCTGTGGTGTTGGTGTGGTGGCGGAGATGACAGTGGTGTTGTGGCGGTGGTGTGTTTTATGTGGTGTTGGCGGTGTTGGTTTTAGGGGCGAAGATGACGGTGGTGTTGTGTTGGTAGTCGTCACAAATTATTTGTGATTTGTCACCGATAAACAAATTGTAATTTTTAAATTTTTAATTTGTGACTGATGAACCAATTGTGACTTATAAAAATTTTGAATTGTGACCTTAAAATTTTTGAATTCTGACCAAATTTCATCGATATATGACCTTTATATATTTATTAATAAAATATATAATTAATTAAATCATAAATAAATGTTAATGAAACCTAATTTTTGAAATTTAAAACCTTTATCCTTAATTTTGAAATAGTGTTTACTAAAAACCCGATTTATGTATTGTTTCCAAGTAATTTATAAAGGGGAAATTAGGCCCAGTACGGCCTAAAATCAATGAAATTGAATAATACTTTTAATTAATAATTTATCATCTAACAACGTAATTAATACGTACTACAAGCCATAACCCCCAATTGAAACCCACTCTTCATCCTTAGAAACGCTCCCCACTCCCAGAGTCAATTTCCTCCGTATTCGAGATACCTCATCCTGAAATTTTTTTTTTTCTGACAATTTTCTGTCGATTTCGTCGACTTCTTCCGTCTCTGTTCCTGTTCCGATCAAAATCCAGAAATCTAAGTCCGATTTTGAGTTATTCACTCGGACGCCGACTCTGACACCTAACTCCGATTCCAATTTCCATAATGGTTGGAGAAAGTGGGCTGAAGAGGAAAAGAAATATTGATGAAGAAACATTTTAGTTGATAGTCTTGAAAAATGTGGTAAAGTTTCTGAGTTAGAGTTTTATCGGAAGGAAATGAAGAGAATGCAAGCTGTTTCAATGGAGGAAACCATATGCAATTTCCTATTTGCTGGAGATTCTTAGGTCGGTTTGTAGGCATGGTTTCTACAATCTACAGGATGTGACAGGGCAAATTACGTATTTGATTATATGC